ATACTGACCAGGTGCCCAAACCAAAGCAGGTGGTTTTCTTAAGGGATCACACCCCGAGCCTTCGACCTGAAGGTTTAACCCACAAGGCAGTGGAGCATCGTGAGGATATACAGTCTCATGGTAGCCGGTGATCAACGACTGGTTCATACGCCATTTGTCCCTTTAGGATACTGGAGCCCATGTGCACCATTGGTCTGGAATCCGGTTAAAAAACAACACCCCCGCCACGAGAAGGCATACTTCAACTCAAAAGATAAAAGAAACACTGAAAGATAAGTATGAATGGTGAAAGTAGTCTGTATTCTTGAGAGTTGATCTTATAATGTGTTGGTAACTATAACTGCTGGTTAACGCAAATGGTTTTCAGTCAATTATGACTCAATTTAGATACTGTTAATCCTGAGAGCTACTTAGTCAATATGTCAGTAACAAAGTAGGTTTTATATACTTTTCCTGACTTATATATGAATTTTGAAAATATTTTAAAAATTAAATGAATAGAAGAATGGAAGAAATGAAAATTATCTGTCACATACATTAAACCAGGTCTTCAATTAATCCCATTTATAATCTACTATAAGTTTAATCAAATGTAATAACAATCTACCCATTAATTATTGAAGAGTAAATAATCTTATATTACTTAACTCTACCTGTTAACCGAATTTTACCGACTGACCGATAGAAATGAATACTTGAATCAATCACCAACTCCTTTGAATAGATGATTAGCTTCATCACAAGTATTCAAGTAACAACACTTTCAATAACGATACCATATGATGAATACTCTAACCACTTGAATGAACAATGGCTTGTTTTTGAGGAACTATATATTTCCACGTAATAAGGGATACAAAACCTAAGTGTAGCAATTTCTATCAATTATCACAAACATAGAACATATTATTATTATTATTTAGTAGTGATTAACTGTGAAATCCATAGCGCTTAAGTTATCTTGTTTGACACAAATTGGTGTAGGGAAATTGAATCTATATTAATCCCTATAGTTTATGGTAAACAATACTGGAAGTACTGTTTAATTCCGAAATAATAGTTCCCTTTATTACAAATCTGTTAATGATATTATCTCATAGTAACTAATTCAACAAATAATCAAGAAGTCAAAATGTTGAATATAAAGTTCTTTACTGT